TTTTTTTAGTTCATTCTTGGCATATAAAAATGCAACTGACTTCTGGACATTAATTTTGTATCCTGCTACTTTGTTGAATTCATTTATCAGTTCTAGTAGTTTCTTGGTAGAATCTTTGTGGTTCTCTATGTACAGTATCAAGTCATCTGCAAATAAAGACAGTTTCTCTTTTTCCTTTCTAATTTGATGCTCCTTATTTCTTCTTGTCTGATTGCTGTGGCTAGGACTTCCAGTACTATGTTGAATAAGAGAGGTGAAAGCAGACATTCTTGTCTAGTTCTCCATCATAAGGGCAACACTTGTAGTTTTTGCCCATTGAGTATCATACTACTTATTTTAAAATATTCTATTTAAAAATGAGCAAAAGTCTTGAACAAATACTTTATTTAAAAAAGTATGCGTGACTACTAAATGTTTGAAATAGTATTTAAGATCATTAGTTATTAGGGAAATGCCAACTAAAATGACATGGATATTTCACTAGACATTCACAAAAATGGAAAAAAATTGAAAAGGCTGACCAAACCAAATGTTGGTGAGATATAGAGCAGCCAGAATTTGCAAACACTGAGGTTGGTGGAACTGTAGAATGATATGACCCCTTTGGAGAAATATCTGGCAGTTTCTTATAAAACTAATACACACTTATGACCGACCCAATAATTTCAATACCAGGTATTCCCTAAAAGAAATGAAAATAAGTATGCACAAAAAGGCTTTTTATAAGGATGTCCATTGTAGCTTCATTCATAATAGTGCCAAACTGGAAACAGCCTGATAGAATGGATAAAGAAATGGAGATACATTCATGCAATGATATATTATTTAACAATAAATGAGACAAATTATTGATATATGTCATGACACAAATGAATCTCAAAAACATGATGAATTCTCAGTTAATATCTCAATTTGATCACTGTCAAGTTCAACTGGTCTACCCAAGCATGGAGCATCATCCAGAGAGAAATGTCTGGCATGAAACTTGACTAACCACTTTTGAAACATTCAATCAGTCACAGCACTCTCTCCACACACTGCACAAATATTTTTCTGTTTCAGTTATGTTTTCACCTTTCTCAAAATAACAAAGCATAATATGCTGAAAATGTTGTGTATTTTCTTCCATCTTCAAAATTAAAATGGCTATACAAAAATTCACCAATTTTGATAAGTTCTTTTAATGCATGCTGTTATGACAGCTGTCACAACGCAGTCTAACAAAATCATTTTGGGTAAAGTTAAAGACAACTAAGTACTACTAGAGCTATCAACCCAAAAAAACCAAATGAACTTTTTGGTCAACCCAAATAGTTTGCTTGGGTAGTGGTAATGTTCTGTATCTGAATAGCCATTTGAGTTACATAGCAATTTACATTTATCAAAATTCACTGAATGATACTGTTAGTTTTTAAGCATGTAAATTTTACCACAAAAGTAAGGTGAAGATGCTATTGTTAAATTTTTAACACTAGTTAATGATATGCATGCTGAAGTATTTACGGTGAAGTGTACTGATGTAACTTTTTTGAAATGCATTAAAAAAGGTAACTGGTGAATGGATAGATGGACAGGTAGTTGATGGACCAAATGTTAATAGTAAAATTTAGACGTGACTATATGGATATTTACTGCAGAATTCTTTCAGCTTTGCTGTATGCTTGAAATTAAATCAATGCTGAAAAACATTGAACAAATATTAGAATATTATAAGTAACAAAATATCAATGAAGTTTAATACATTAAATGAATAATAGGCAAAAGTTACAAATTACTAAAACTGTTTCATGAACAAATATCAAACCAAATATACCACTAATCATTAAAGGAATTAAGTTGGCAATCAAAATTTTTCCTCCACAGCAACAAAAACACAAGAAGTCCTCAAAATTTTAGAAATGAGTTTTATAAAATCTTCAAGGAGATGATAACCCCTTTTTAAAGAAAATATTTTAAGAATATACAAGGATGAAAGAAAGTGTACTATTGATACCAGGATCAGATGTCTAAAGCAGGCAACTCTATATGAGCAAAAAATAGACTAGTGGTTGTGTGGGGGAGGGTTTGGAGTGCGACGATGCACAGGTATGAGATGAAGTGTTTTGAGACTGAGTTGTGGTGATGGTCACACAACCCTGTGAATGTGCTGGAGACCACAGCACTGGACAGATTGAAAAGGTGAACTTTGTGATGTGTGAAACATAATTTCATTAAGACTGTTAAAAAGAAAAGACCAAATGAATGCAAGAAAAAATTATACTATCTCACTTATAAATAGGAAACTCTTAAATTAAATACTGATGAAAGTTAATTTTGTTTTCACTGCTCTATCTAGGTGGGGTGATTTCAGGAATGTAACAACTCTTCAACACCAGAACACCTACTGATACAATCGATGATTTTAAAAATCAAATAATAAAAGTCACATGACTATTTCAATAAATTATTTTTTATTCAACAGGTATTTATTGCATAATTATTATGTGACAGACATGCCCTGGTAATCAACTGAAATAGAAAATATATTTGACAAAAATTTACACCAATTCTTAGAAAAATATGAGTAGAAGGGAACTCATTTACTAACTCAAAGTTATTGATCAAAACCAGAACAAATACCATCCTTAATGCTCAAACATGAGAAGCTTTTCTCATTAGAATATAAAAGATGTTTGTACTGGGGTCCTGGCCACTAAATCCACTTTAATTTATGAAATGTATTTAAAAATTGCATAGAAAAATAAGTTGTTTCCTGTTATTTAAGATGAGATAACCAAAACAATGTAAAAATCCCATACTATCTATAAACAAGGTACTAGAACCAGGAAGGTAGTTCAGCTTTGCTGAACTAGCTGGCAGATACAGGATCAGCACACACAGGACCACAGCATTCCCACATAGTAAATGTAATCAAATTTTTAATTCACTATAGAAACAAAAACTGGAACAAATCTGGTATACATCTAACAGAAGCTGTGTATGACCTTTATCAAAATAAATTTCACCAGTGACAACAGGAGAATGGCCTCCAAGCGTGAAGATCTTGTTAAACCCTTGCATAAGCACCATCTTGCCCAGCCATGGCTACACTGCATCCATGGACCATGGACCAGCCTCATGGAGAAGAAAGATAAATGCATTCACGTGGGAGACTATTCTACTCATATAGTGACTTCAAACTGCTTTGTCAGTGAGGTCCCCCTGGTGGGACTCCATTCTAGATATACTCTCATTTCTTTGCCCATAATTTATTTACACATTGATAATTTACTTATTATACAACAAGCATGTTTGAAATTATTTTAATTTTCTTAAAAATGTAGCAAGGTCACAAAAAATGTCTTTGATCTCTTTGAGTTTATATTCTCTGCTGCTGGGTGGTGACAGCTGACAGTTTGTAAATAAGGAGAAACCAAAAGGTAATTGCAAAGAGAAATAATTAATTTAAAAATTTTTTATCATTGTTCAAGTACAGTTGTCCCCCCCCCCCCCCCAATTTTCTTACCCCCCGTATGTTTTTTTATTTAAATGAATTTGTTTCTTTTATCAACTTTTTTACATTCCCTACCTTCTCTTTTTTTTTTTTTTTAAAAATACAAAATTCCCCAACCCCCTACAATTTTACCTAAACCTTTAATTCCTAGAGACGGGCTGGGGATTTTTGGCCATTAGGTAAATGGTTTGAAGCAGGATAAACAAACGCATTATTTGTGGTCTCTATTTGACATGCATCGGTCCAACAAATGATTCCAAATATCCCCACTGCCCTTGGATGTCTCTACCTGCAATTCCATGGTGGCACCAATATATGTCTTTTAGGTCTTTTCCTTGTAAACGACAGAATCTAATTTTTACTTACTTAAGCAAAGTAAATTAAGTAAAGTAAATTACAACAACAGTAATACAGCATTAAAAAGGAAATTCATGAACTGGGTCAAGCATAGCCCACAACATCAAGGGGAGAGTCAGTTTGTCAAGGTAGTAAAGAAAATAGACTTAGGGGTAAGTCTGCTCCATTTGGATCTAATTTCCATCCCCACCAGTTACCTCTTAAGAGTCAGTTCTTCTTCTTAAAATAAGAATAACTAAAGAATTTACCTAAAACACCTGTGATATTTAAACAGGATAATGTATGTAAAGTGCTGAGCTTAGTCCCTGACATGATGCAAATATCTACTCATGCATTCTTATTAGAATTCATGTTTATAAATCTGCCTTGAAAAGACAGAATCTGGGATAATGCTGGTGATGTTATAAGCAGGGCCACTGGGATAGGCCGTCAGTACTGCAAAGACCTCTGTGTCTCTGAATCACTCCTCAAGACTGAAATTCCTTACAGAGTGGCCTGACATTGACCATGGACCCATTCCTGTTCCAGCCACTGTGCCAGGAAGAATGGGTGAATAGAGAGCAGGGGAGGGGGAGGACTTGGAGACACCATGATTAACAGTCTCTATGGAACCATATAGAGCAAGTACAGTTTAGTTATTAGAAGGATGGTAAAGACAGACTGAGTAATAATAATTTCTACCATACTGTGTGTAATAAATTAAATATTTTTATAAGAAAAAATGCTAGACAAGAAAGAGGTTCATCCACCCACCTTCTAGGACTGAACTGATATCATTCCAAGAGAATTAACTCCACCTCTGCGTAAGTATTTTTAGGAAAGCTCTAAGGCCCTGGCCACGAAGCTCAATAGGTTGGAGCCATCATCCTGTACACCAAAAGGTTTCAGGTCCAATCTCTGGTCCGGTAGAGTACAGGAAGTAACCTATCAATGCCTCAAGTGAGGGGAAAGAAGGGAGGGAGGGAGGGAGGGAGGGAGGGAGGGAGGGAGGAAGAGAGAGAGGAAGGAAGAAGAAGAAGAGAGGGAAAAAATCTGTAAGGTAAATTGCAGATCCTAACATCAGAGAATTCTCAATATGCAGGCACACTGTTCATTGCAGTTCTACCCAGGTTCCTCATCATTCTGATGCCAGAGTCTATTATTTGAAGCACTAGGAACATTTTCTCAACATCCTTTTCAGAGCTGCCTTCACCTCCTTGTTCTTCAGGCTATAGATGAGAGGATTCAGCATGGGGGTAATCACACTGTACTGCAAGGAGAAGATTAACTCTCGAGTGGATTCTGAATTTGGCATGAGATAGCGGAGAAATCCTGAGCCGTAAAAGAAGCCCACTGCCATGAGGTGGGAGGAGCAGGTGGAGAAGGCCTTGCCTCTACCTGTAGTAGAGCTGATGCTCAGGATAGTGGACAAAATCCGAACATAGGAGAAAACGATCAGGAGAAAATTTCCGAAGAAATGCAGGATGCTAGAGCAGAGCAAGGCAATAAAGCTTGCTGTCACATCAGAGCAGGACAAAGGGTAGAGAGAGGACAGCTCGCAGCAGAAGTGGTGGATATTGTGAGCCTCACAGAAGTCTAAACTGAGCGCTACAATAATATTGGTGAGAGCATCCAGAAAAGCCAAGCCCCATGAGCCCCAAGCCAGCCCCACACACCGCTGTCTGTTCATCACCTGGCCATAGAGCAGGGGAGAGCTAATGGCAACGTAGCGGTCATAGGCCATCACAGCGAGTAGGCAGGATTCAGTGCCCCCCGTGGCAAACACAAAGAACACCTGAGCCAGGCAGCCCTCCACTGAGATAGTTTTCTCCTCAGACAGGAGGTTCTCCATCAGCTTGGGCACGGTGACAGAGGAGTGGCAGAGATCCAGGAAGGACAGATGTCCCAGGAAAAAGTACATGGGGATGTGAAGATGCGAATCAACCCTGATCAGCAGCAGCAGCAGCAGGTTCCCCATCAGGGTCAGGAGGTAAATGCCAAGGAAGAGCACAAAGAGCAGAGCTTGGATCTGGGGGTCAGAAGATAGTCCCAAGAGAATGAACTCAGAGAAAACACTGTGGTTCCTCATTGCCTTCAATATGGTCCTCGGAATGTCAGAAGTAAATTGGGTGAAGCCTCTTCTTCTTTTTTTTAAGATTTTATTTCTTTATTTTTAGAGAGAGGGAGAGAAACATTAATGTGACAGAGAAACATTGATCAGCTGCCTCTCATAGATGTCTGTGGACAGACAGAACCCACAGACCAGGTCTGTGCCCTGACCCATGACCTTTCACTTTACAGGACAATGCCCAACCAACTGAGCCACACAGATCAGGGCTGAAGCCTCTTCTTATGTCTAATACTGATTTTATAAACTATTCATAATAATCCAGTAGAAAGAAAGAAATTCCAGGAGGAATAAGATAAAACTGCAGAAATGGTGTCTCTGAGAGCAGTGGGTTTTCAGAGCAGAAGCAAAGCATGGGTGGCCTTCGGGGAGAGTGTGTTTACTCCATCCATCCAACATGCATGAAGTCAGTAGATTCGGTGGAGAAAGGAAGCACTTCTCATCCAACGGCTTTTGTTTTTCACTGTGTATTTAAATGAGATCATGAGTGGACAATGACTAGAGGTTTGTGGCTGAATTGCCTCACCAAGCGAGCAGAAAGGAGTGAATTAAAGAACGAGCAGCACAGAGCTATCCCAGATGCCATGTAGTTTATCACCAGCAACAGTGGACAGGCATGGAAACACACTCTGGTCATCGTCTCCATGCCCAGCCTGTGTGATGGCTTCACATTTAGCTCTTGTCTGTGCCTTCATGCCATTTGTAAATATAGACTGCCTACCAGCTTTCTAAAACCTGATCTTCCCCCCACCCCCCGGCCTGAACCGACAACCCAGATTCCAACCATGGGCACCAGATAACCCGTCAACACTATGAACAACACCGTCTTAACCTTCACGTCCTGCCCTCTATCTCGGGTCCAGACTACAAGACCAGCACATTCAGTTTCTCAAAAAACATAATTTCTCTGCCATGGTTTATCCGAATAATACACAAAATTAAAGCTATACTCAGGAATCAAGTACACATTACTTGTAATTCTCACCTCATTGAGCAACAACTACCAGAATAAACGAAAGACCTTTTGAAATCCCACGGCCCAGAAGATGAGTAAGTTTGAATGTCAGTGTGAGAATTTGGTTTTAAGGCAGAGTTTAAAAATTCCTGCTGATGTAGAGCTCTTCCTTGATTTCTAAAAGAGGAAAATAAATGGGTAAATTGTACAAATTATTTCTAAAAACCTAAATACTTCCAGTCATGTGGGGATTTCATTTTGTCTTATTATTACTTTTTTTTCATTTTATTCAGCACTCTAGCTATAGCTACATTGACCTGGATTCAGCCAGAGAATAGTACATCTAGAGAATTGTACATCAGTGGCAGGAGATGCTGAAAAAGCAAGAAATCAAACCATGAAACACAGACAGAGAACCACCTGTTATAATTTTAGAGGGCAGCAAAAAGAAAGTTCCCTTCTGTTTCACTCACCTCCAAACAGAGCTCCACTATAGCATGAGAAATTCCTTAAACTTCGGGGAAATTTTCTCTCCTGGAGATAAACTCCAAAGCATAAAAATCTTGCATAAGACAGATCTGGAAATCGTATCCTGTCAGGAGACGGCCTCCCTCACAGGTGAAGTTGTACTATATTAGATATTTGAGGGGTCACAGAAATAAATAAAATCATCACTTTCACCTGGTGCTACAATTTTACTATTCTCAATGCTTTCTTTATTCAGACTAGTGAGTCCAAATTTGGAATGGAAATAGCTCTGAGAATGCTGCCACTACATGTTTTCAGTGATTGTTACAATCAGGTGGGGGGAGCAGACTAGATCATTTCCAAAGAAAAGCTGCCTGAGAGGAGCTCATTTTAGAATGAGACTTACAAAAGAACCTACGGATGGTAACCGGCTTGAAGGAGTTGCTCAAACAGTGTCATTTAAAAACAAAAAGGAATGTGTGAATGAGTAAGTGAATGAATGAGACTCAAGAGAACAGTCTAGGGCTTTACTACTCAGAGAGAACAGATCCGATTGGGAACCAGCAAGGGATCTGGACAGCCTGGACTCACCCGAAACCAGATGCAGAAAGGGCACTGGAGAAAATGTTCATCAAGTGGATGGGCTTGCCTCAGTGCTGTATCTCATGCCCAGTTCTGAACTTACACATACCTCAGGGTACACCATCATGAGGGATACCTATAACTAAAGATATCATTTGTTTCTGGACCCTGTATGTTTAGAGTGCTCAAAGAGGCTTATTTTTGAGTCACAAGGTGCCCAAAGTCTATCACTGATGCCCTGCTCTGCTTCCACCTCTTACAGCGAGCTTGCTGGTACCAGCCTCCTTAAACCTCCGGGTTTCTGCTATAATGTGGGCTTTCAGCACCTGAAACAAGGAATATAGCAAGATAGAGGAAAGAGACTTGTCTGGATTGTTCCACATGTAAAATGAAGACTAAGAATCATTACTTTGGGCAGGTGTGAGTACTTAACTGACTAACATAGAGTGCTGAAGACAATTGAGGTGCTGAAGAATCATTAGATTCTCTTTTCTTCACCCCAAATCTAAGTGTATAATTTTCCCAAAAGGAGGAAGAGAAGTAGTTTTAAGGAAAGAAACAAAACAAAACATTTTAGGTAATGGAAACAAATATTATGTCAGAGAGAAATGTTCTCCTCCTTCCAGTCAGGAAAATAAAGATAAGGCAAGAGGACTCAAGGGGAACAGAAGTGCCTGATGAGGAAAGACAAAAGTGGTGGGAATTGAGGGTAAAAATATCCTACCTGGAACAGAGGAGCAGAGAAAACCATCAGAGAACAGCAGGAAAACATCACCGTGTTTCCATCTTTTCCTGGTTACAGGGTGCATCCCGCTTTTCTCAGCTGGTGGGCGTGCCTCTGAGCCCAGGAGAAATTTGCAAGACAGAAAAGGTACCACAACAGTTCAATCACGTGGACTGACACCACTTTTTGCATTTAAGACTTTTTGTGCTTAAAGAGAAATATGTAAGCTCGGTACTCAAAAACCTCTGCAAATAAGGACTTCAGAAATCTCCCCTAAACTTTGACAGCATTTTTGTTCTCTCCTAAGGGCTCCATAAAAGAACAGAGAAGAAAAGCTCAAAACTGTCAAATTCCTAATAAGTAATAAAGCAACTTCTTCCATACTTCCTCTAGCATAATTACGCAATGATTTGTTCACAAATTTCTCTCTGTGACTATTAATATAATGTTCAGAGAAACTTCCTAACAAAGGAGGTTCAGGTCTAGCCATTCAGAAGGGCTTGTGGGTTAAGGTGTCCAATGGGATGACAAGGTATGACCTGAAAGCCCCAGGGGATGTCTGGGTGCATCCTCACTGCTGGAAAGCTCAGCATATGTTGGATTCAGCTAACAATGGGTACTGGAAGATCCCGCGGGGAATTTCTACTGAAACTGACTCACAGCTTACTATTACATCATTTTGCTAATGTTGTCATGTATTTAATTGTTATATATAATAAAGATAATTATGATTGTAGATAACAGTATCAGGTCAATGGTAATTTAGATTTACCTCCATATTTGACCTCTTTTGTTAATTTTTTTCTACATCTAGAATTGCAAATTCAATAGCTGAAGCTAGATTTCAATGGGTGACTTTAACACAAATTAGACAATGTTAAGAAGTATAAGTGAAGCAGGATAGTCCTCCTAAGGGCTCCATAAAATAACAGAAAAGCTCAAAAGGAAATAAGAACTTCCATCTGTGTGCATTTTTCTTCTCCTTGGAGAAATCAATTTTTCCTGTAATACAAGTGTTGTAGTGATGTATTTATTTTACCTTCTTTCTTAAAGGATGTTTTACTGGACATAGAATCATAATGGGGAGATATTTTTTATTCAGTACTTTGAAGATAATATTTCCTTGTTCTCTGTTTCCTCGTTTGTCTAATGTTTCTCTTGAAGCGAGCTGTCAGTCTAATTCAGCGATTTTCAGCCAGTGTGCTGCAAGAATTTTTAAACATGCAATACCTGACTATGTAGTCAGGGGCACTGACCTCTTTTCTCTTAGATGGTCATATAAAAAAATGACAACAGCTAACACAATAATAGCCATCTAGTGTGCATGAATCAAAATTATACCTTTTTTCCTGGACTGGCAAAAAATAACATTTTTTGGTGTGCTGCACAATTTTAGTAATTAGTTTATGTGTGCCAAGAGATGAAAAATGTTGAAAATCACTGGTCTAATTGTATGTCTCTAAAGTTAATTTGTCTTTTTTTTTCTTGCCACTATTAATATTTTCTCTTTTAGATTAGTAATTTTATTATAATATGGAAATGTGACTTTCTTTTTATTTATCACACTTAGGATTTATTTATAGGACTTCTAGCATTTGTAGTTGATGCATTTTTTAATTTGGAAAATTTTCATCCATTATCTTACATATTGCCCCATTTCTCTCATCTACTATTCATTCTTTCTCTCTTCTTTGAACTCCACATGCATATATGTTGTCTGCATTCCATACATTATTTATATCATATTGCCTTTCTTTGCTTTATTCTTTCTGTGTCTTGCTGTACATATCTTCTTATCTATCTTATATGTCACTAGTACACTCTCAACACTGTCTAATCTCCTTTAAATTTATACATTAAGATCTTAATTTGAGCCATTGATTTTTATGTCTAGAATTTTCACTTAAATTTTTAAATAGTTTCCAGAAATATTATGCCAAAATTCTCAGTTTTATCCTAAATCTCCATAAATAGTTTAAACTTTAAAGTAGTGTGTCTGGATCTGTTTCTACTCTCTCTAGTTTTTGTTTCCCCATATTCTTGTTTAGTTTTTCTTATTAGGAATAGGATATTATGGTAAAATAATGGAAATTACTCAAGATTCTGGATTGTAGTCTCCTCCTCCAGAGAAAATTCCCAGTCTTTTGTCAGACAGCCATGGGCATCCGCGGTCCCATGAGCATCCTGTGGATATGGCTCATTAATTGCAGGGCTGAGATGAAGGTGAGTTCCAGCCCCTACAAAGCCAGCCTGCCA